TAAAATATGAAGAGATAAGAAAGATGGCATTAAAGACAAAACCCACATGTTTGGAAATTACCAAGCTTGGAAAGTGAATAAGCAAAGGCTTCATTTCTTAGGGGTGAGAGCATGAGAATGAGCAACCCTGGTGTAAGTCACAGTATGGCAAAATGCAGACTCAGTCTTTCCAGCCATACTAGCCTAATGCAGCTCTAAAATCAGCATAAGGTAGTGAAATCAGATCTTCACACAGCAGGCTTTTTAGGAAGGTAAGTCACAAAGAACTGTGTCCTGACTGGCATGTGTTTTCCCTGGCAGCCAATGAGAGGTGCTGGAAGAGAACAATTTGCTGTTTCACATACACCGGGGCTGAATCCAGGATGAATCCTGATTACCTCTGCTGTCCAAATGGATATTTGCTTCTGAGAGTGTCTGGGCTGTAACACACAAGTGTGAAATAAATGAGAAAAGCATACAAGATTTAGAGACAGGAAACTCCTTGGAGACAAACGGAAAGGTAATTGCACAGGAGAACAAAGGGATTTATGTAAATGTACCTGGGTACCTTAGGTGAACATTTCAGTGACTGCAGCTCTCCATGCAAGGGAATTCACCTTCTGAACTCTCTCTCTCAACATTTTCTTTTTAATCTTGTTTTTTTTCCCACAGATTTGTGGCTTTAATTGTGCAGATCTTAGACCTTAAGGATGTTGTTTTCCATTAATGATGATACACAAAGCTGACATGAGGTCAGAACTTAATTAATTTCAGCTCCTTGACTACTTCTAGAAGGCAGCAGGAGAGGGGAAAAGATTAATACTTTCTGTCTTTCGAAAAACCAACAACAATTATTTTAAATAAAAAGACCTTCTCTCTCCAGGAGTAACAAAAATGTAGTGTACAGAAATAGATGGCACAATTTGTGACTGTGTGAATTTTTTATGAAGATGTATTTCCACATTTGCTTCTCCTGAATCATGTGAGTTACAAGCATGGCTTCTGATAAGTATCCTATTTTTGTGGCTCTGACTGTGTACTGCTAATTCAATTTTCAAATAATCCTTAATAATATCCTTAAGTGGCATATGTATGTTTGTGTCCTAAGAACTCATCAGTAGAAAAGAATATTGAGTACAATTGATCCAGTTTTGACAGCCACAGAATGCAATATTTTGTTTGCATAGGCAATTGGTGCATTTGTCTATATCTCCTTAGCCTAGGAAAGAAAATATTCTGGCTTCTGTGACAAACATTATCAGTAAAATGCAACAGAGTTGTACCAATCACAGTAAAAGTTTCCCTCTGAAAAATCTTTTATGTGAGAATAGTAGTTATTTCAAATAACATAGCTGTATGTGAAACTACTTGCTTTCTTTATAATCAGAGCTTGCTTTTTAAAGTACACTAGAAAAACAGTAAACTTGTATTTTAGCAACAAACAGCTATTTTTATTCTGTCATAATATCTTTGGGTACATGAAGACAGTTTATATTCTGTTTCTGTTCAGGCCTGTGAACCCAGTTCTGTGGTGAAGTTATGTAGCTACTGTGAAGAGTCTGCAAAATAAACACCATCTTGCATCTTGGGTGCTGTAGTAATTCTGCTGGCTGTTAAAAATTACTAGGCAGATGAACTAAGGGAGAATGTAGCTTTTCCTGAAAAGTGAAAAACAAATGAACCAGCCGAATCTCAAACTTACACAGAAGAGACTGTGGAAGAAATGAGTACTCTTAAAACTTTATCTAGTGATGGGTACAAATAGATACCCATATAGATAGACAGACAGATAGATAGATAGATAGATAGATAGATAGATAGATAGATAGATAGATAGATAGTAGATAGATGGATAGATTGTCTTTTTCTCTCTACCAGAATGTCAGTGAAAAAATAATAATGTTCACAAATACTTTCTCTGCAAGAGTGACATTTCATCATTAACAGTACTGGTCCCTTAGCTCCCTCCAGAAAACCCTGGGTTTATGTGCATGTCATAGAAGAATAGCCATATTTCCTCCCCTTATCTCTTCCTCTTTCCCTCTGACTGCCTTTCTTTTCTTCTCTGTCCCACTCCATCTCTTTTGCTTTGCTTTCCTTTTCCCTCTCCTCTCATATTTCCTAGTTAAAATATCAGTGGATCATTGTCTGCTTGCACACAGAGAATATGGGCAGGACAATTACCTCTTCCAAATGCTATAGCACAGCTTCCAGTCAGGCTGGGAGGAATTGTGTCAGCCAGAGAGAAGAGTGCATCTGACCAGGTTCCAGCTGTGGCTGATGTGCTGAATGCACACACGTGGCAGTGGCTGGCAGTGGGGCTGGTGCTCAGTGGGTGGCTCTGTTTGTGGCTGCAAGCCACCAAGGGCCACCTGCCAAAAATTTTGCTATTTCATGGGTTAGAAACTGCCCAGTAGTGTCCTTGGCCAAGGTGGAGGATCCTGCCTTGAATAAGTAAGAATTGGAAAAGACTTTGAGATCATTGAGTCCAACCTATGACTTAACACCTCCTGGTCACCAGGCCGTGGCACGGAGTGCCACCTCCAGTCTTTCCTTGAACGCCTTGTATACAGATTCCTCCTATCCTTTATGGATACCTTTCAAGAGTGGAAATTCATTGTCATTTTTACACTCTTGATTTACAAGTCTGGAAAGAGTGAAGGGTGAGTCAGAAGGCCCTATTACAGTTTTGGAAATCGTGCTTCTGTTCAATAACCCAAGGAGGAGTGGCAAGAGGAGCCAGGGCTGAGCAGGGCTGCGTTGGTCACACTCCACAGAGGTGACCTGAGAAGGATCACAGCTTAGGCACATGGCTAGCGATGCTGCTCTTCCAGTGCAAACCCAGCACACCAGGGCTGGATACTGTCAGAAAAGGAGAGAAAGAATGAGCTTCCAGCTAGTGGGATGAACACAGTCAGCCCCCTTAGCAGGAGGATTTCGCTGCCCTGGCCACGCTGTGGTGTCACGTCAGGGACATGCTGCGTGTGGGCAAACTGGGACACGGGGTGACACGGAGCAGCTCCAGTGCTGGGACGGGCGCTGGGGCACTGCAGCAGCTCTGCTCAACCAGGGGGTCACTGGGAAGGCAGAAGTGCCCAGAACAATTTCTGGAAATGTTTGCAGGCCCAGAGGTTGTGCTCTCCTGGGTGACTCCATGCTGAGGGCTGCTCTGGGCTTGGCGTGGCTCTGAAGGTGACATTAGGAGTCCTGTGACAGCAATAAGCAGAGGCAGGGCATGCAAGCAGAGCAGTCAATATTCACAGGCAAGCCCACTTGCCATGTAAATGGCCAGAAGGCACAAGGGAACAAGCTTGAGTTAAATAATTCCTTGGCAATTTCCCCAGAGAGACAAGGACTGTTCTCACTGCCCTGTACAGGACAATTCATGTCCCCTCCACGCCTCTGTGGCTCACAAACACAACCCAGCACACAGCCAGACATGGACACAGCACTGGGCCATTATTTCAGTTTTTCCATGCACTTGCCAGCATTGCAATCTTGGCAGTCACAGAGGTCATCTCCAAAAAGAAGACAGCTCTTCTATCCAAGCTCTTCTATCCAAGCCAACACTGACCACAATCCCCTTCTCTTTACTTTCCTGTCCTTCCTGTCCCTCCAAAATTCAGCACCATTACAGTTACTGAGCATATACAAACTTCCTTCCCATTAGCGGAATAGGACAAAGAAATAGGAATGAATATTTTAAAATTCCATTTGGCAAATCTGCCTGGTTTTTGCTGGCCTTATCTTTCACTGGGAGCAGCCTTTTCAAATCTGAAATTATGTTTAATACTTTCATTTTTTCCAGTAAAAATAACCTCCTGCAAACTAGTTGAGTTCATCATAAAAAGGCATAGTTCCTTTTATAATTTCTTGTAGAAACACCCCATTAGCATGTTGGTGCTGTTAGAATACAATTTCCTGAATCCAAATACTGCTGTGAACAGAGCTGTGGAGATTTTTCTTTATTTTTTTTTTTCCTTTTTTAAATAGAACAGAATATCTGGGATTCTATATGGTCTAATTGCAAGTAAGATCATGCTTGAGAAATGAAAGCCTGTGTTCAAGCTGAGGTGACAGATAACCTTCAAGACCACCATAGCTTGCTAAGGGATTAGGAGAAAAAAACTTCAAAGTGAACTTTTTAATCAAATATTTTGAGCTGGAGCTATGAAAAGGGAATCCAGCTCAGTCTAAACACCATCTGTTTGCTGAGTGTACTTGCATATTTTCAGTTGCTTTATTCCACAAACTGCTATTTACTACCTCAAAATGCCTTTTGGTGTGAAGACAACATCTCATAATAAGATGCTTTTCCATTTGGGGCTACTGTTGGTGGGCCATGCAGTAGTATTAAGATCACCAAACCTCTTCAGGATCTGAACAAAGCAAACAAAACAATTAGTGAAACATTAAAAAACAGTAAAAATTATGCTCTCTGCTACAAAAAGTATGCCTAAAGAAAAATTGCAAAAATAAGAATAATTTAGAGATTATTTTTCTCATCATGTGTGCTTCCAACTTCAAATTTCCTCCCATACTTATACTTTCTGGTTTCTGATAATTGAAAAGAACTGGCACTGTATGTATTCTGATATGAATGCTAACATTAAAAGTTTTCTACCCCAAACAGCACTTTCTGGTTTATTCCTAACTTTTTAATGACAGTTTCTTTTTCTCTTCCCTTTTAAGATTTTACTATCAATGCAAACAGAGATGTTATAGAAAAATTACATATAGAAGCAATACTTAAAGCTGCAAACAGTAATCTGAGTTGGATTGTACTGTTGAAAGCAGGGATTCATCTGCTTTCTATAAAATACAGCGTGCACAGTGTGCTCCCCTAAATTACAGCATTTAAGGATGGCCTCCTGAATGACTGTCTGTGCCAGCACAATTGTCTGTGCAGCAGAGAACCCCAGACAGGGAGCTGCTTCCACAGCAGAGCTAAAAATTACACCCTGCCTCAGCCCATTTCCACACGGATGCTGTTCCCATTTCTGGTGCAGCAGCCACAACACAGAAACATTTTGCAGACAAGATGGCATTTCTCTCTCCCTGCCAGATTAAGTTGGAACATTGCTGTTCCCTAGGGTGGTGGGTAATGGAGAAGTTCCTACAGACTGCATGCTGCCTGTGAACCGTGGGTCAAGATTATCTAAGATCTACATTTGGAGACCCTTAGTCAGAAAAATGAACCTTTATTCTTTCAGGAAGACTGTTTTGAAGCCAGCTGAGGTAAGTAACTGCTACTGAGGGATATCCTCATGTTCTTGTCAAGAATCTGCTTGTTGCTGAATTAACCATAACTATTTGATTCAAAAGGATAGTTGTGATAAATGAAATGTTTCCTGTGTGAAACTCTTTTCACAGTGAAAGCACTTGCACAGCCAAAGAATGATGGAAAGCTTCCTGTCCTCAGGAAGCAAATTTATAAACGTATATCATTGCAAACATGTAATGTGGTAATTTTACTGCATATAGAACATAACTACTGATGTGTAGTGTAGTCGGTTCAAACTTACTGAACATGAATGATGATGAGGCCAGCAGATAAGCAAAATGTCTTTATGCTGCTCTATAATCAGCTTGATCACGTTGCATTAACACATCAGTGCTGTTTTGGGCTCAGTGCTATTAGCAGATAAAGCACTTAAAAAATTATCCTGACATTTATCTTCTCAGTTACATTAACCCATTCCCTGCTCCATTAGAAGTTAATTTATGAATTTAAATTTCTTTTCTTGTATCATTACACAAAAGATTGTCTGAGAGGAGGGCTGCTGAAGCACTATTTTTGGCCCCTTTGCTTAACATTTTTTCTTTAATTAAATTGTTTGAGTTATTTATGTTGTACTGGCATTTGTTTGCCATTAGGTCCAATACAGCAAGGACAGTGAAGGTCAATTAATCCAACATTTTTTGATTCCACTATGAATTAGCAAAGATATTGGCCATTTCAGTGACACCATCCCACTGTCCTTCCCAAAACAAGCCCTCTCTCCCCCTACTCATATGATTTAGGCATATAGTAACATCAACACAGAACAGCTTGGCCTTAAACAATTCCTGAAATCCTCATGGAAACATATATCCAAAAAGCTACTCTGACATTGGCTAGACACTACATCTTGGAGTCCTGGGAGAACCTAAAGCCTTGTAGCTTTTCTGTTTCAGTACTTGGGAATGCAGTGGAAATATGCTGATTTTTGGTTATCCTGTCTATTTTGGCTTTCCTCTCATGATTTTTGAGTGGACCAGAGTTTTTCAACTTTTGCACTGCTGACCAAAGTGTGCTGCACCCAAGTGCTCAACCTTCACGTTCAGTCACCTCTCACCAGAGTGCAATCTGTGGCACTCTTGGTCTGACGGGTGGGATTTCTCAGCTTTCAGCTTGTTCCCTCAGAATTTAATAAGTCTTTTACTTTCAGAGGAAATGGGCACAGAGCCAGACTAATGCTGAGAGCCTTAGAAAAATCTCATTCTTGGTGTCACCTCTCTTTCATTAGTCTTTGAGTCAGATCCTCACCTTGAGTGTACTAGAATACCTTCATTGATTTAAAGGAAGCTGCACTGATTTACACAGCCTAGGAGCTGTCTGCCTCTATTTACAAAGCAGTTCCTCTGCCCTTTAGTGGGTATAGGAGCCTTATAATGAGGGTTTAGAGAACAGTTGTCCAACCAAAGTATGATTGCTTCAAAGTAATGAAAGATTAGCTTAAGTCGCCATGAACCTGCCGAGCCCGAGCTGACGCTGCTCTGCACATTGTGGGTATCTCTGAGCATCTCCACGTGCACTGCCCATGACAGAGGTCCCAGCTGGCTTCCAGGGGGTAAAGCCAGCTCTGAGCATCTCCACATCCACCTGAGTGTGGCACTCACAACAAGGTTTGATTGCTGAAACTCCTGCCTCCCCTCAGAATGAGGCAGCCCGGGAAGGCAGGCTGTGCCACTGTGCTGTGCAATACAGAATATCCTTGAGACTACGTTATTCAGACCTGACCCTCTACCACCTCTGTGTTTTTATCACTTTTAGGTAGAAAAACAGCTGCTTACCTTTGCTACCTATGTAGTCTCACACTCTTTAAATGCACTTATCATTGAACTATAACAGTGTTATTGTTGCAACATGGACAGGACAGCAGCTGGAAAAAACTTTGCACTAAACTCACCTTCAGAAAATTAAAAAACAAAACAAAACAAACAAACAAAAAACAAATAAAAGCAAACAAACAAAACCCAAAAAAGCAGAGCATTCCAAACCATTGTCCAGAACTCCCATGTATAAAGCTAGCGTGTATAACAGGATAATTTCTAGCACCTCATTCCCTTTCTTACTCAGGAGGCATTGAAACAAAAGAAAACTGAAAGGCTAGTCCATATGGGTGCTCAGCTACTGTGCTCTTCAGGAAGTGCCCAGCAACCACTGATAAAAAATGCTATGGTTTGGAGATCACTGCAAGCAAGAGACTGGAACTGGCTCTAAGAAAAGCAACCTTTGTGGATTTAACAAAAAGAGATTTGTTCAAGTTTTCGCAAAAAGTTTGTGGCAGAAGAAGAAATCGAGGTGGGATCTCTTGAGCTCACGTACATTTCTGTAGGACATCCTTCCTCTGTATAGCTGGAGGGAAATGTCTAGAAAAAACCACATTTTGCACTGCTCTCTAAAATGATTCTGTGCTCTTGTCAGCTGATACATCTTTCTCCATGAAAATCAGTCTCTCATCATCTAACTAGCCCTGCAGCTCTCTCTGCATAGATTGTCATTTCTGAGCCTTGACTCTGTTTTGCCTTTGAAGATAAGACAGCGTGTTCTTATTGCAGTATCTGTCTAAATTTCCTAATGTGCCAAGCCAGGGGCTGGTCTGCATTTCCTTCTCCTCCTTCTCCCACTTTGTTGCTACTTCTCTTACATGAAAATGTCTGAAGGCTGGTACAAAATTTAGAGAAGTCCATGGAATGACCCATTGACTTGACTAGAAACTGGATCCAATATATAGCAACAGACAATTTCCGAAGCAATTTAATTTAAGTTAATTTGGTAAAAAATTAATTTAACCTGATTTAGATTACCTAAGCAGCAGAACTAGAGGTACTTCAAGCCAGTGCACTCCATGTAGCAATATAGGATGGTTCAGAGACTTCACCCCCTCCAACCAAGCCAGCACCATTGAGTTAACTATGACACTGGGAACAAGGTACTCAAACTATGTCAAAATAGCACTGCCCTCAGCATAATGATTCCCCCAAGAGGCAAGGCTCGTTAGCTTGTGCACTGTGCCATACTAATGTGCCATTATCTGGGGTACTTCCATGCTTTCAAACCCGTCTATAGAAGCAGAAATGCCCTGTGGAGCTAACAGACATGAGTCGTTTCCCCCATTCCTAACAGAAATCAGGGTATCAGTCCATCCCTTTGTTAACTGCTGATGAAAAGGTCTGGGACCTGCTGCAGAGCTGCTCAGCTATCTCTGGTCATTATGGCAGAAAAGCAGCCAAAAACTCTTGTAGTAAAACCACTTCTGCCTAAATGCCTGATATATATTTTTTTACACCAAGGCTGGTGTGGACAAATTACTTCTTCTCTACCCAAGAAGTTCATCAATTCAGGTATAGATGATTTTGAGGTATCATTTATACATATGTGTCTGTATTTGTGCATACGTGTAGGGAAATAAATGTGTTCATATGAAATAAATGGAGGCAATTACAAATTAGCCAATTTATCCATTTTTCTTGAAGTTTCTCTTGATATTTTCAGTGAAATATCTAAATTTCATAATGAAATAGCAAAATTTTCAGCATTTAAATGTTTAAAATTATCTACCTAACAAATTTCACAGGTGTAACATACATTTAATAAACACAGGACTGCCCTGGGGTACGTAAGTGGTCTACATTGCATATACATGGATTCTTTCCAGATTAGAAGTTCTCCTTTTCCTGCCATATAGCCAGCTATTAATCTTCCACTAGGAAAATTATTTATTTATTTTGTGGGAATTCAATCCACAATTTTACTGACAGTTGTGACTGATGGGGGGAAAAAATGGCAGAAGAATGCCAGCAGTGTCTTCAAAATCAGCCCAAATCACTCTCTCAGAAACATTTTGAAATTCATCAGTTGTCAGTGCTGTCCAGATTCTGGGACGAAACGACCTTACCTGAAAAGCTGAACATATGGAATTTGTCAACATTTGCTCACTGCCTCTGCTGCTGGCTGCACAGCTGATCCAATTCAAGCACATCTTCATTCCTTCAGCTGGCTGGCCCTGCTGCTTTCAAGGATGACTAGATCTTACCTCAGCGGCCCCAGTTCTCCCTTCTGAGTGACAACTTCTGACGTTTCAGACTCCAGTGAACTGCAGAATTCAGTTTAGAAAGCATCCAGTTTCCCTTCCAGTCAGTAGGGAACCTTGACATCTTAATTCATGCCTCTCTTGGGGATCTCTTCAGCTTCTAGACAATCTCCAACTTTGTCTTGTTTTGCAGGTTTCAGCAATTCACTGACAATTCACTTGTTTTGTCATTGAGTTCCAGTGCAAGATGCCTTTTCTGTTATGTATGTACAGACAGCTTTTAAAATTTCTTTAAAGCTGATCTTCCTTCACTGTAGAAATCCTCATCTTTCTCAGCCAAAGCATTTTCCAAGTTTCCTTTGTCTGCTTCTCTAAGAGAAAAAAGGCAACTACAAAGAATATCTGGATTGCTTTTTATTTTTCTCTGCAAAAATTCCACCCCAGTCAGATATGTTTGTTTTTTTCAAATTTCCCGTTTTTTCTGCTATTCATATTGTTACTAATACGGTGAAAATATGTGACTAAATAACAACTCTGAATTCTGTTTTATTTCTGGTGTCCCTGAGCATATAAACTTCTCATTTTCGTTTGTCTTTAATTATTCTTCATCTATACCAAATGTCTATTTTCTGGAAAGTTTAGGTGCATTCCTAAACAGGCACTTTTTATCAAGCAGGAATTCTATTCAGGGGTCAGACCTTGCATTTTCTTCCTTTGTAAATATTAACTATAGAACAGTAGACATTTGAAAATCAAGGATGTTTGTTTAGCAACAGTTAGGCTTTAGTATAATTGCTTAGCTGGTAGAAGTATTTCAAAAAATCATCAGCTGATATAGATATGATAGATATATAGATATATATAGATATAGATATAGATGATATAGATATAGATATAGATATAGATGATATAGATAGATATAGATATAGATATAGATATAGATATAGATATAGATATAGATGATATAGATAGATATAGATATAGATAGATATAGATGATATAGATATAGATAGATATAGATGTATAGATCTATAACTTAATCTTATCTAATGCTACACTTCAGTAATACCAAGTTACATCTTTGGCAGGAGAAGTCTGATTGTTCTTTGTGTCTTTTAAAGTACTGCTGCTGTTTGTTTCTCATTCAAACCTGTCCCCACATATATTTTCATTTTCAGATGGTAACTCGTGGTAATTAACATCACCCTGTTCTGTACTTGCCTTAAGACAGACACTCTGAAGAGAAAGAGGGTTTGAATTAAGATGCCAGGCTGAACTGCAGGCACATGCCCTCTTCTGGGAAGTCTTCCAGAGACACAAAAATATTTGGCAGAGTAATGGGTTACACAGCTGAAAAACCACGGTAAGATTCAATAGAGACCTCATCTGCAAAAGCTCAGACTGGCTTTCCTTACAAACCATAGAGCAATGCTGCAGGGTTTCCCCAGAGATCCAAGGTGCTTTTAGCCCTCCCTTCTTCACAGGCATTCCTCATGGGTAGTTTTTTATTCATGTTTGCAAGAGTTTTCTGTATCTGCTTGTTTACACAGAATAACGTAGCAGTCTCAAAAGCCAGCTCAGAGCAAGATGATGTGGCAGACTACAGAGACACTAACCAAGCTATTTAATCCTATTTGTTAGCAAAGCTGGTCAGTGTGGGTGGAACAATGTTCTGATGTATATTCTTTGTACTTAATCCTGTAGCTTCTGAGAAAGGAGTTGAAGAGGAAAATGGCCATCATCCAGAATAAAAAGCAACCAGGGAATTACACTGACTTTTGTTACAAAGAAGAAATCAACAAACAATAAATGGGAAATATGAAGATCTGTAACATGGAGCAAAGATGCCCAAATGGAAACAGAGGGCCAGACAAAACCTGGTCTGGCAGAGACAGGAGTTGCCAGGCAGCATGGTCACTTCTACCACAGCCTCATAGAGCAGCTCTCCCATCCCTCCCACCCAGCCACGGGGCTGACAATGCTGGGGACAACGTGCAGTCTGCAGGGTGAGGGCAAAATTAGCTTAGTTTTATTTTTTTTAAGATTCCTTCAGAAGGATGGTTAGAAATTTATACATGTTTATTATTATTTTGGAAGTGTGCTATTGTGGTTTATTTTTGGTATAGCTGATGCTGTCCCATGTGTAAAATTTAGTGATTGGCAATTAATGATGTCATTAATAAAACAACAAGTTACTTCAACCATTATTTGATTTAAACTGTGTGAACCACATAGGGGTTTTTTTGGGTTTTTTTTGTCCCCAAGACATGCCTGGTCTTTAAAAATAACCAATATTGCTTGTATTTTGAGACACAGTCAAGATATTTTTGTATCATTGAGAGCTAGGGCTGGGTGAGGTCCCAGAAGACCTCTTGCTTCTGTTAAACATTGCCTGCTTCTTTTAAGCATCCCCTTTCTATCTGCTTGATGTTAGACAGGTCTCAGAAGAACTTCTTCCTTCAGAGCCCCTTTCTCTCATGGGTTTGGTCACATCCTTCTTTATTGCACCTGATGACAATCATTCCCTGCCCTGCTCTGACTGTTTCACACCTTTTTTCCAGAAACCATTTCCAACAGGACAGGCCAGATGTTTTCCCCCAGAAATCTGTTACTGAGGCCAAGTCCAGAAGCCAGGGACAGCTAAGAAAGACAGAGGAGAGATATATATTTTTTTTAATTATTTCTCATGTATGTGTTAACACATAAATGAAAACAGGAAAGGAAAAACAGTAGGAAGATTACTGAGGAAAATAGGAAGATGTAGAAGGAAGAGTATTAGAAAGCAGAGGAATAGCCTGGGAGTGTAGGAGGGACACATAGGAGAACAGCACTGAGAGTCTTTGGTGGAGCTGAACAAAAATTTGGAAAGCTGGAAAAAGAAAAACAAAGCTCTGCTAAAGCAGAGAGAGTAAGGAAGGAAATGAGAAGAAATGACACAAAATACAGAAGGAAAAAATGAAAAAAAGATGAATAAAGGAAATGGGGAAAAAAGATCAAGAAAAAAGAGAGAAGCAGTGCAATACATGTTCTCCAAAACATCCATTAAAGTAATGGACAGAGGGTTTAATTTAAATCCCTTTTCTGTGTAGCATATTACTTTAAAATGACAGCCTGTGTTGCTATACAGTGCATATACATTTTTTAGATGTCTGCATATAATACTTTTATTTATTCCATTTCAACATTTTAAAAAATTAATGAATTCTTCATTCAAAAAATGCTGGAGGGAAAATAAACACACTATTTATGCAGAAAAGAACAAACAAGCAAAAAATCCTACAAATGTGTGGTTCAAATTTTCTGTAAATCACACCAAGTAAATCTATTTCAAAGTATCACTTTTGCAAAACATTAAAGATCTTGATTTTTAAAGAAAGCCTCCCACATATTCTCTAAAAATCATACTGCTCTGAAGTGTCCAGCTGAGACAGGCAAAGTTAACAATCATGCCTGGAAACCAAAAATCACATTTTTGTCACCCTTTATATCCCCCTCCCTGCCCACACAGACTCCCTGCTGGACTCAGACATGGAGAGGACAAAGTCATGCTCAAGACAAAATCCATCTCAGGAATGGTGTCAGCTTCCCCCTCTGGTGGAACTCGTTGGAAGCTATTAATCTAATGCCTGTCTTCTGGCAATTTCCAATGTGGACAGACAGCTATGGATGACTGAAGTTTAATTATGTTTCTAAAGATGTAAATGAATCCAGAGGCTTAGGGAATAGGAATGTGTTTTAATAAGTACCAACATAGGTAAAATAAATAAACCTGTTATTTAGTTGGAAGGGAGAAGGAGCAAGTTTATATTAATTATCTCTTTCTTCTTGTTATAATTGAAGGGCAGCTCAACTAAAAACCCCACTCAAGCAGGACTGGAGAAAAAAGCAACTTCCACAAGGTCACTAGCTACATCTTTTTGATGTCCTTTGCTAGAAAAACAAAATTTAAGTTAAACTGAAGAAAAAAATATAACCATTTCTTTGCAAAATACATAAATCCACCACCTCTTGCCACAACATGCACAGCACTAACCTGCTTCCAAAGTTGGTACTAATCTTGGAAAAGTATGCACTCTCTCTTCCTATTAGTAGAATTCCAGTGTACATTCATGAATTTACTATTTACGTTTCAAAAATATAGGAAGAAAGTAACATAGTCCCAAAATTTCCTAGCCCCTGAACAACTCCCCTAACAAACAGCTGTTTCCTCTACACTTGGAATTTTAATCTCTTTATTCTTCTTAATATAACTTGTTTTATTTTATTTTTAAGTACTAGAATCAAGTTTACAGGCTGTGGTGATCTACTGGTAGCACTGCTGCTAAAATAATTTTGCATTACCATAATCAGTCACGATTCTTTTCTTCTTTTCTGATATGATTCTGTGCAAAGGGAGAAAAACATCATTCCTGAGGCTGCAATGTCAAGGAAGCAGTATTTTCTTAGATGAATGTGGTGGAGCACCTTCTTGGATTCTTGATCTCCAGAAGATCCAGGCTCTGCAATCCAGCCAATATGGATTCACCCAGATTTTATTGCATGCAGATTTTTCCCATCTAGAATAACAATGAGTTTACAGAAATGTCACAAATGTATCTTGCTGATGGCGCTTGCTCCCATCAGATGAGCATATATTGCTAACTTAATTCCCACAAAATGAGTAGTTTTCTTCACTATTTTTTTCTTTTTGTAAGAGTTTCCATGTGGTACTAATAAGTACTGCTATTTCTCTTCCAAGGGGATGCACTTTTGACTCCAATAATTACTCCCATTTTGTCCTCTTTGTACAGCTACTAAAATAGAACTGTTTCATTTTTTTTCCTAGATGTTCCCCAACTTTCTGATAAATTTTGCCTGTCTTTCTGTCCCTTACCTGACTGATACACCCTTAAAGTTGCAGTTCTCTCCCAAAAGTCAACCAGTTGACAGAAGGAAATGTGTTTGTGGTGTTACAAAAGAGAAATAATTTGTGTGTCATGTTCCTCACAGGCTGCTCTGGTCTCTTCTAACCCAGTTTGCAAAAACATCCCACTGCTGAGTTCCTGCACATCTTCTCTGTCACGCAGTGTCTTTTTACACCCTAGAGAATATTATGGTTATTCTTTTTCTGACAGTTTTACCACTTTTTTCCCTGTCTTTCTGTTCATCAGAGTTGCTACAGTGCACTGTATTTGAAAATACAAACCTTGAGCAAGACAAAAGCCATTCAATTGTATTTTACTGATCTGAGGTCATGGGGTGGTGTTGTATATGTCAACCCTGACCAGTGGATTGAATACCCCATATCTGTTTATAAGTCAGAGCTTTGAAAACTTTAAGGTTAAGATTCAGATTGGCTCAGATTTTCGGCTTCACTCTTGAGTCTCTAGATTTGCTTTTCAGTGTAGTTTGCAGTTAATTATCTTACAACACAAGCACTTCGGAAATTGCTACCATACTACTAAAGACACTGAAACTCTGAAAAGAGAGTCTTAATATTCCATGCTGACAGTTATTCTTCAATGCTTACTTCCACTCCACTCTTGGTTGGTTTTTTTTTTTTTTTTTTGGAGCACAGACAGAATAGCTGCCTTTGACAATGGAAGCTGTTATGATCATTTTAGTCTAATTTCAGAAACATTCAGTCCTATTCCAATAGCTCTATCAGTTTTGTTTCTGTCTGTGCAGACAACTCTGTCTGCAGTGAGTGCCATGGTGTTGGGCTTCATTCCAAATAATTCATTTCCAAATGCACTCCACTCCCAAAACAAGGCATGAGACCAAGAAAGAACTACCTTACTCCTCATGATGCAGCTGAAGGTGCATCATGCAAATAAAGAAATCCATGCATGACTCAGAGTCCTGCCACCCTTGTGAGTCAGTAACTCAAATATTTCCACTGTTATCATGGAGAAAGTCAGCATACCCAACCTCAGATGAAGCTTCTGCTAAACCTTCAAGCAGAAGCAAGCCATGTGTTTTATGTTGTAGGAATCTCATTCCTGACATAATTATCCACCAGTTTAAAACGCAGACATAATTATCCACCAGTTTAAAATGCAGTTCAGTAGGAAGTAGACACAGTGCTCCACTTAATTAGGTGTGACCTTTAGAAGCACCATCACGTGGTGGGTTGACTTTGGCTGGACACCAGATGACCACCAAAGCCGCTCTATTCGCTGGATAGAATCAGCTGGATGGGGGAGGGAAAATATAAAAAAATATTTGTGGGTTGAGGTAAGGATATGGAGATATCACTCAGCAAAACACAGACAAAATAGATTCAGCTTGGTGAAATTAAATTATTACCAATCAAATCCAAGCAGAATAATGAGAAATCAAGCCAAATCTTAAGATATCTTCCACACACCTCAGTTTTCTTCCTAAATTTAACTTCACTTGTGCTGTTTTTTTTTTTCTCCCCCACAGAGGGGGACAGAAAATAGGGACTGTGGTCAGTTCATTATGTTTTGTCTGCTAATTGTTCATCCTCAGCAGGAAGACTCCTCACATTCTTCCCCTGCCGCAGTAGTTGTCCATGGACTTCTCCAACACAAGCTCTTCCTGCAGGTTGAGATTCTTCACAGTCTGCTCCACATGGGTCCCTTCCACGGGGTGCAGTCCCTCAAGAACAGACTGCTCCAGCAAAAATCCCCCACAGCTTCACAATTCCTGCCAGCAAACCTGCCCCACTGTGGGCTCCTTTTTCCATGGGTCCACAAATCCTGCAAAAGCCTGCTCCAGTGTGGGTTCCTCTCTCCATGGGGCCAGAGGTGCTGTCAAGTCTGCTCCAGGATGGGTTTCACATGGCATCACAGCTGTGGGAATCCAGGGCTTCCCTCTGGCTGCCCTGGCAGGTCTGGGACCCTGGCAGGGGTCAGGAACCCCCCTGGACAGAGCCCCAGAGACACTGGCTGTGATCTCTGCCCATGCAAAAGAGTTTGCAATCTTACAGGATGAACTACCAGCTCTGAGGGTTTGATATAAGTAATAATTAAGTGTGGCATGGGTGAAAAAGTAAAATTTTAGGATTCTAGACTAGGGGTCCAAAGGGGACAAGATGGAGGAAATTGGGTGTGTCTTGTCCTTTTTCTCCTCCTTTATGCCCTCCATGTCTCACTGTGGTGTTGGCATTTTTCTGTTGGTTCAGGCTGGGGACACACTGTCCAACGTAGGTGACAGATATTGGCACGTTCTTGTAAATGCAGCCCAGGGAGTTTCTGGTATTTAATGTTTGTCACATCCCACTGAGGGCAGAGCCCCACACGCTGCCCTGCAGGACAGAGCTGGGCAGGGCAGCAGAACATGTGAGAGATCAACAGAATAAACAACCTGGAAACCAGCACAGAGCAATTATGGCTTCTGCTTTGGCAGCGGGGCTGACAGACAGAGACTATTACAATCTCAGAATCATCAATAGCTCAGATTCCAACACACAGCCTCCCTCAGGTATCCAACTGCTTCCAGCGTGGGGTCCCCCATGGGCTGCAGGGGAATCTCTGCTCCAGCCACTGCAGCATCTCCTCCCCTCCCTTCTCCTTTGCCCTTGGTGCTGTTTCTGTCACATATTCTCACTGCTTCTCCTGCTGAAGTTGTCTTTTCTTTCCCCCTACTTCTTAAACACATTATCCCCAAGGTGTTAGCACCTTGCTGATGGGCTCAGCCTTGGCCAGGGCTGGGGCAGTCTCGGAGCCAGGTGGCATTGGCTCCATCAGACATGGGGGACACTTCTGGCAGCTTGTCCCAGAATCCATCCCTGTATGTCCTCCCAGTACCAAAATCTTGCCATGTAAACCCATTACACAGCAACATTAGTAAATAATATTGTAACAAATAATTTTTTTTTGGCAGAATAATAATGAGAAAATTATAACAAGTACTAATATTAAATCCAGAGAAAATAATTTGATTTTGACAGCAACAAAGGAAAAGGTATAGCTGAATGCCCCCCAAAAGGAAATAGGAATTTGTCTAGCACAGTAGCAATACTGGCTTTTCCTTTTTCTTACTCTGAAAAAGTAACAGTTAATTTAACATAATCTAAAAGAAAATTGAATTCCTATAAGCTACTCTCAGATAATACCTTCTAGCAAAACAGTGTATTAAAGGGCTTTTACTACTCAGTTTTTTCACAGAAGTAATCTAGGAATCAGATTTAGTCCTTCAAGTACACTACAAGACTAACCCTGAAACCTAGAATACTGCAAGCAAACTGTTCACAAATAATATTTTTCACTTCCCAAGCACATGCACCTTTCAACAGTTGCTGCTAAATATGGTTTACTTTAGTGAGGCTAGGATGTTACTTTCAGACCTCATAACAGAATAGCAAATCTACATTATAAACCTCATTGATGTCTGGAAAAAACCTACTTATTAGCAGACCTCCTTCCTACCTCTTCTTTCTCCTTTCTCTCACAGGCTTATCTTATTTGCACATCTGAAATTAAATTAATTCTAACCTTGCTAGTGTCTACAAGACTTGATCAGCAGAACACATATCCAAATAGGATTCAGAAAAACATTGATTTACAATTACATAATTACCCTTGTTAATGGTTTACTTATATGTGTTAGCAACTTTGAGTTTATTCTTGCATTCTTAGCTGGAAAAAAAGTATGAAAAACCATTTAATAGATCATGCCTTATGCTGCAAACAAAGGCACGGATGCAAAAAGTAATCATGCTTGACCTCTATATTGAAGGGATGATAAGTCACCAAATTCTTAAGGACTTCATCCAGAGGAGTCAACTTCTTTCAGAGTAAATGGTATTTATATCTATGCAAGCTCAATCCTCTTGAACAAATGGGATCACATTGCTAAGCCTTTTAAGTGTCTATCTATATGCAATGCTGGCTGAAACCAATCATCCCACAACTCATTTCTCCAGGCCTTGCAAATTGGACTTGGAAAGGCTGAGAGAGGGTAAAGGGTGCACTATCATTGGCATACAATATGGTGAGGTCAGGTCTTTGGCTGCACTGGGAAAGTGTCAAGGGGCAAGGGAATCTGCTAAGCCAAGCTATGGAGGTGATAGCTGTTGGTGTGGCTCGTGACACAACTGGGACACAGTTCTCCACAGCCCTAGGCATGGCTGACCTGAGCTGGGATCATCCACAGTAAGTGCTGAATGGTGGGTTTCTAGCTGGAAACATACCCCTTCTACACTACCATGTGAATTAAATGGGCCTTGGACTATTCCATGGCACTAAGGCTAGATGCCAAAATCCAACCCGTCCTGCAAGTGATAATAAAAGGGTTTTAAAATCATGGGGATTAAGGGTTAAAAGGGAAAATCAGCTTAGTAGGCCCTGGAAAAATGAGTTGTGGGATGACTGTGGTCAGTAATCTAAGAAAGATCACGAGAAACTCATGTCAATGTATACAATAGAACAATATAAGTTTAATAATTAATATGTGAGTTATGTAACGGTAGAATAGAAAATACGTTCAGCTCGAAAGCCACGTCGGAGTCAGATTTGGGTCTGTACTCCTGATTCCCAGAGCTCTTAATAAAAGCATCTGCAGATAATCATATCCCATGATTATGTGTGTTCCTGAACGCTAACACAAG